GTCACAAATACGATTTTAAGAAACCAGGTTGAAAATATATACATTCCTGTAGTTTTCTGTTGAAAAAAATAATAATTAAAAAGTACATTTTCGGCTGTTAGTTTCAACCTGCTTAATCAAGAAATACTACTGGTGGGGGACCAAATATTACGTTTCCCTGAGAGTAGAAGCAGTGGTGTTGATTTAGGACATTTTGTGTACTGGTGTGCCGAGGGGGGAGGGGGTTGTATATATTTAAGGCTATAAATATAAAATTAACACTCACATTTTCATAATGATAGTGGCGATGATAATATTGTTGCTTTGATAGGCCCCTCAACAGTAATATTAGCATAGTCAACTTAGTGACAATTTTAGTCGGTGCTTGCTTTTGTTTTCTTCCGTGCTATATGACATAATTTAGTGGCTTAATTATTTCTTTCCGTCAGCACTTTCACTCAGTCTAAATGATTCAGAATATCTATAGCAAATAAACGTCTACAATAAAAAAAACTGATCGCAGACTGCAATAGATTTGTTGGTCATCTACTTTAAGAAGTTACCCTTATACTTATTTGATGCCAGCTTGACTTCATTCCAATAGAATAGACATGTCATGTGATACAAGTCAAGTACTTATTTGTAGGCCTGTTATTGAATATACCGTTTATTTATTTACTATTAAGACTAAGAGACTTATTGTACCATTTAAGTAAGATGATATAGTTTGATTTTAGGAGTTCGAGGGTAAACAGGTCTGCTTACACTTACACTACTGTTTACCCTTCTCACCTTAGACTTAGACCTTATTTACTTAGAGGTAGCCAAGTATTCTTTCTTACTCTTTGCTGTGCCGCATCCCCTCTTGATTTAAAAACATTTCCCAGTACCATTTCCCACACCCCGGGCCAGACTTAGGTCCTTAGGCGCCCCCACGTTATTATATCTAACTTAACATTCAAAATATCAAGAAATATCAAATATAAATGGCAATTTTTTTTTTACTGTTATTGATACTATTTACTATTTAGTATTTAGTTAAGTTACTTTATTGACTTAATTGACCTCCTGTAACAGTCTAAGTACGGTAACTTAAAGATAGAGTAGGCAGAAGGGGAAGGAAAAAATATAGAAGATGAAATAGATCTGACGTCTTTTAAACAAATAATTTAAAAACAACTAGTAGCTAACTAATTCTTGTAATAAAACTTAAAGCACGGTGTACCTAATAGATGCACAAAGTAAAAATCCAGGAGAAAATTAGAGCTTTAAAAAAAACAGCAGTGGCAGTATAAAATGTGTTGATAAAGACGGATAATTAAAAACCTTTACACTAAAATTACATGCTTTTTTTGAGAAAACTATTTTCCTACAGTGAAAACGTGTATTATGGAAGAGTATTAAAACACTAAATATTAACATTAATAATATTTTGTTTTTTAAATTTGTACTGTAACTACTAAAATAGTATTGTCGTGTATATAAGAAAAGACCGTTCGTTTCTTATAATCCTCTGGCCCTGGCTCTTGCCAGTTATGGCATGGATTTGGTTAGAACATAAATATTAAAATTCTTAATAATGTATGACAGTAGGCATTGCATCTTTGCGTTTTCTTAAAAGAAATATTATGCATTTATAATATTAAACGTCACATTAAGACTTAAGCGTGATGTACATTGCATTACGCGATAACAAATGATCATGTTTGTGTATTTTATATTACCGGTAATCATATGTTTTAACACATCAAATATGCATGTGGTCCCATGGTGTAATGGTTAGCACTCTGGACTTTGAATCCAGCGATCCGAGTTCAAATCTCGGTGGGACCTTGTTTTGACTGTTGGATGACTAATGCTGAATAAACAAATTTTATTTACGGAAATTGCTTGTGTCTTTATATAATTTAATCAATTTTTTGTATTGCTTTGCACTCTTCTTATTTTTTGTGTAAATTCTATATTTTAAACTTTATTAGATTTAGATCAACATGTATTGAATTAATTTGTTTAAAAAATTAATACCAAGGCGTCCATTAATTATGTCAACAGTTTTTAAGCATCCCCCCCCCC